TCAGATGGAATCTCCTCTCTTGTAGTTTGAAGCCATTGTTCCGCGTCCTAGTCTCCAGGAAGCAGAAAACAAGCTTGCTCCCTCCTCCCTGTGGCTTCCTCTCACATATTTATACATGGCTATCATATCTCCTCTCAGCCTTCTCTTCTTCAGGCTAAACATGCCCAGTTTAAGCCGCTCCTCATAGGGCTTGTTCTCCAGACCCTTGATCATTTTAGTCGCCCTCCTCTGGACCCATTCCAGCTTGTCAATATCTCTCTTGAATTGTGGTGCCCAGAATTGGACAACAATATTCCAAGTGTGGTCTAACCAAGGAATAGAGCATGGGTAGCAGGACTTCCCTGGACCTAGACACTATACTCCTATTGATGCAGGCCAAAATCCCATTGGCTTTTTTTTGCCGCCACATCACATTGTTGGCTCATGTTTAACTTGTTGTCCACGAGGACTCCAAGATCTTTTTCACACGTACTGCTCTCGAGCCAGGCGTCCCCCATTCTGTATCTCTGCATTTCATTTTTTCTGCCAAAGTGGAGTATCTTGCATTTGTCACTGTTGAACTTTGAATGCAATGTTCCTGCTTCTTGGCAGAATGGGGTTGGACTGGATGGCCCATGAGGTCTCTTCCAACTCTTTGATTCTATGACACAGGGGAGGAGGGTGCCGTGACAGGATTGGCCTGTAGGTGGCGCGAGGTCCTCTTTAGTGGCCGAGGAGGGAGTGTGCGGCGTCCCTCCCGCGCATGCGCCGTGGCTCCTGCGGGGCGGCCCGGGCTCGGCTTCCCTGTAGTAGGCCTTGCGAGGGAGGGAAGGAAGGAAGAAGCAGAGAAAGACAGAGAGAGAGAGAGAGAGAGAGAGGCCGGAAAAGAAGGAGGGGAGCGGGGGGAGGCCAGAGAGGGGCGTTCCTTCCTCTTCCTCTCTCTCTCTCAGGCTCGCTTCCCAAAGAAAAGCCGGCCAGAAGCCTTCCATTCCGGGTGGTGGGCCGCCTTCCCTTGTGGAGCCTCCCCCTCCCTCCCTCTCTTCCTCTTCCCTTTCCTCACACTTCCTTCTCTCCCCCCCCCCTTGATGCCATCTCATCAGTTAGGGACCCTTCTCCCCCCCCCCCCCGCCCCAGAGACCCCTCTCTTCTGGTATCCTTGCCCCCCTCCCCCCTGCATGGAATAACCCAGGAAGATCAGCATCACTTTGGGGGGGAGACACCTTTCCACCTCTCCGTTCCTCCAGGAGAAAGGTAAGACCATCAAGGAGGGAGGGGGGTTCTAAGGCTTTGGGACCCATGTTCTAATGTGTTTCCCACTCAAGGTGCTAGTCCTCAGCGAGGAGAGCCCACCCAAAGGCAGAGAAAAGGGGCCTCAAACCCCCAATTAATATTAATATTATTTCCTCTGATATATAATATAATAATATAATTACCATGGTCTGATGTGTATAATATAGAACAATATAATAATATAATTACCATGGTTTAATGTATTTCCCACTCAAGGTGCTAGTCCTTAGCAAGAAGAGTCCACCCAAAGGGAGAGAAAAGGGGCCTCAAACCCCCAATTAATATTAATTTCATTTCTCCTGAAAGGTGGTGTAATAATACAGCACAATCCCCTGAAAAGTGGTATGATAATAAAGCACAATATAATAATATAATTACCATGGTCTGATGTGTTTCCCACTCAAGGCACTAGTCCTCAGTGAGGAGAGCCTACCCAAAGGGAGGGAAAAGGAGCCTCAAACCCCCAATTAATATTAATATTATTTCCCCTGATATATAATATAATAATATAATTACCATGGTCTGATGTGCTTCCCACTCAAGGCGCTAGTCCTCAGAGAGGAGAGCCCACCCAAAGGCAGAGAAAAGGGGCCTCAAACCCCCAATTAATATTAATATTATTTCCCTTGAAAGATGGTGTATTAATATAGAACAATCCTCTGAAAAGATGTATAATAATAAAGCACAATATAATAATATAATTACCATTGTCTTATGTATTTCCCACTCAAGGCGCTAGTCCTTAGAGAGGAGAGCCCACCCAAAGGCAGAGAAAAGGGGCCTCAAACCCCCAATTAATATTAATATTATTTCCCCTGATATATAATATAATAATATAATTACCATGGTCTAATGTGTATAATATAGAACAATATAATAATATAATTACCATGGTCTAATGTGTTTCCGACTCAAGGTGCTAGTCCTCAGCGAGGATTGCCCACCCAAAGGGAGAGAAAAGGGGCCCCAATTAATATTAATATTATTTCCCCTGAAAGGTAGGTATAATAATACAGCACAATATAATAATATAATTACCATGGTCTGGTGTGTTTCCCACTCAAGATGCTAGTCCTCAGCGAGGAGAGCCCACCCAAAGGGAGAGAAAAGGGGCCCCAATTAATATTAATATTATTTCCCCTGAAAGGTAGTATAATAATACAGCACAATATAATAATATAATTACCATGGTCTGGTGTGTTTCCGACTCAAGGTGCTAGTCCTCAGCGAGGATTGCCCACCCAAAGGGAGAGAAAAGGGGCCCCAATTAATATTAATATTATTTCCCCTGAAAGGTAGTATAATAATACAGCACAATATAATAATATAATTACCATGGTCTGGTGTGTTTCCCACTCAAGGTGCTAGTCCTCAGCGAGGATTGCCCACCCAAAGGGAGAGAAAAGGGGCCCCAATTAATATTAATATTATTTCCCCTGAAAGGTGGTATAATAATACAGCACAATATAATAATATAATTACCATGGTCTGGTGTGTTTCCCACTCAAGGTGCTAGTCCTCAGCGAGGAGAGCCCACCCAAACGGAGAGAAAAGGGGCCTCAAACCCCCAATTAATATTAATATCATTTCCCCTGAAAGGTGGTGTAATAATATAGACCAATCCCTGAAAAGAGGTATAATAGTAAAACACAATATAATAATATAATTATTATTATATTAATAATAATAATAATAATATTCCCAATGGGAGAGAAAAGGAGCCTCAAACCCCCCATTAATATTAATATTATTTCCTCTGAAAGGTAGTATAATAATACAGCACAATATAATAATATAATTACCATGGTCTAATATATTTCCCACTCAAGACGCTAGTCCTCAGCAAGGAGAGTCCACCCAAAGGGAAAGAAAAGGGGCATCAAACCCCTATTATTAATATTATTATCATTTGCCCTGGAAAATGGTATAATAATACAGCACAATATAATAATACAATCACCATTGTCTAAACTGTTTCCCACTCAAAGCGCTAGTCCTCAGAGAGGAGAGCCCACCCAATAGGAGAGAAAAGGAGCCTCAAACCCCCAATTAATATTGATATTATTTCCCCTGAAAGGTGGTATAATAATACAGCACAATATAATAATATAATTACCATTGTCTAATGTGTTTCCCACTCAAGGCGCTAGTCCTCAGTGAGGAGAGCCCACCAAAAGGGAGAGAAAAGGAGTCTCAAACCCCCTATTATTATTTCCCCTGAAAAGTGGTATAATAATATAGTACAATATAATAATGTAATTATTGTATATTCAATATTATATATAACATTATTAATAATATTGCATTATAATATAGTTATGTGTTACTTATAATACGACTAACAATATTGCAATATAGTGGTATAGTACAATATAGTCATATCTAATAATACTAATATTGTGCTATGCTAATAATATATACAATGTAATAATAATACAATATAATAATGTAATGTAATATGACTGATATTGCAGTAAAGTGGTATAGTACAATATAGTAATATCTAGTAGAAATATATTGCTATGCTTATAATATATTGTATATTCATATAATATTGTAATACAATACTAATAATACAATATAAAAATTATATGCATTACATGTAATATTACTAATGTAGTGGTATAGTATAATATAGTCATATATAGTACAAATATTGTGCTATGTTAATGACATAATATATTGTATGTACATATAATATTGACCATAGTATTGTAATACAATATACTGATAATAATAATAATATAATAATTATATAATATTACAGTATTGTGGTATAATACAAGATTATATTAGAACTAATAATATAATATATTGTATGTATAGAATATTGATCATAATATTATAATGAAATGCAATATAAAACTAATAATAATACGATATAATATAATATATTGTATGTACATATGATATTGATAATAATAAAATATAATAATCTAATAATTATATATATTACGTGTAATCTGACTAGTAATATTGTGATATAGTGGTATAGTACTAAATAGTAATATATAATACTAATATTGTGCTATGCTAATAATATAATAATATAATATGATCATAATATTGTAATACAGTATAATACTAATAATAATACAATATAATAATTATATATATTACATGTAATATGACTAATAATATTGCAGTACAGTGGTATAGTCCTAAATAATAATATATAATACTAATATTGTGCTATGCTAATATAATATGTTGTCAAAGGCTTTCAATATTATGATCATATTATATTGATCATAATATTGTAATACAATATAATACTAATAATATTATAATATAATGATTATATATTGCATGCAATGTGTACTAATAATATTGCAGTACGATGGTATAGTACACTATAGTAATGTATAATAGTAATATTGTTGTGTACTAATAATATTATATATTGTATTTACATATAATATTGATAATAGTATAATGTAATACAATGTAATAATAATACAATATAATAATATATAATAATATTGTGCTATCGTAATGCTAATATAGTTACTACTGATAATATATAACGATATACTGTTTTATTATTGTGTATTTTACGTTGACATGTTTTTTTATTGTGAGCCTCTTTGGGTCTCCATATGGAGAGAGAAAGTGGGATATAAATAAACAAATTAAATAAAAAGGGGGTCTCTGGCCCTTTAAATAAGGATCCTCCCCCCCCCCCCCCCCCCCCCCCCCCAATAAACAGAAAGGGAGGTATTTGCCTTGCAGTGGAAGGCCTGTCACTTCCCTAAAGGTCCTTCTTTCTTCTTCCTTGTGGGCATTGCAAGAAAGACAGAATTAAAAGGAGGAAGAAAGTGGTGCTGATGGAGAAATGCCATAAGGTTCCATTGGTTCATTAGTATTTTTTTCCCTGGATGTTTAAATTATTTTTCGTGTGAGAAAGAAAAGGAAAGAGAACGAAAGAGCAAGTGATGGAGAGGTACCTTTGTTTCCTTATGCGTTCCGTAATTTTATTTTCCTGGAATATTTTTGGGGCGGGGATGACAACTTCCTGCTTGTGTGTGAGAGAGAGAGATGAACAGATAGATGCAGAGGAAAAAGAAGAAAAAAAGCATGAGTGAATGAATGAATGAGGTGGAAATGCACCATGAGTTTCCATTGATTCCTTAATATATTCTGGATTATTATTATGTGTGTGAGAGACAGAAAGAAAGAATCAGAGAGAGAAATAGAGAAAGGATGGAGGTGGTGATGTAGAAGCAGCATAGGATCCCATTGGTTCCTTACTTTTTTAATTTGGAAGTTATTTTATTTGTGGCATATCAGTTTTGCATGTGAGATAGACGGACAGATTGATAAAAAGATCGACATACAGAAAGATCAATAAATAGATAGACAGGAAGATAGATAGATAGATAGACATACAGATATAGACAGACAGACACACAGAAAGATAGATAGAAAGATAGACATGTAGAAAGAGAAATAGGAAGATGGAAAGATAGATAGATATGTAGAAAGATAGACACACACATAGATACAGACAGACAGATGGAAAGACAGACAGACAGACACAGATAGATAGATAGATAGATAGATAGATAGATAGATAGATAGATAGATAGACAGACAGATACATACATACATACATGCATACATACATAGACACATACATGGACAGACAGATAGATAGACAGATAGATGGAAAGACAGACAGGCACTCAGATAGATAGATAGATAGATAGATAGATAGATAGATAGATAGATAGATAGAGATAAAAGTGATGGGTGGATGGATGGATAGATAGATAGATAGATAGATAGATAGGGATAAAGGTATGGATGGATAGATATGGATACTAAAAATGATAGATGATGCTGATGATGAGATAGATAGATAGATAGATAGATAGATAGATAGATAGATAGAGATAAAGGTAGGTAGGTGGGTGGATGGATTAATAGAGAGAGAGAGAGAGATAAAGGTAGATGTGTGGATGGATGGATAGAGAGAGAGAGATAAAGGTGGATGGATGGATGGATGGATGGATGGATAGATAGATAGATAGATAGATAGATAGATAGATAGATAGATAGATAGAGATAAAGGTAGATGGGTGGATTAATAGAGAGAGATAAAGGTAGATGTGTGGATGGATGGATGGATGGATAGAGAGAGAGAGAGAGAGAGAGATAAAGGTAGATGTGTGGATGGATGGATGGATGGATGGATGGATGGATGGATAGATAGATAGATAGATAGATAGATAGAGAAAGGTAGATGGGTGTATGGATGGATAGAGAGAGAGAGAGAGAGATAAAGGTAGATGGGTGGATGGATGGATGGATGGATGGATGGATGGATGGATGGATGGATGGATAGATAGATAGATAGATAGATAGATAGATAGATAGAGATAAAGGTAGATGGGTGTATGGATGGATAGATAGAAAGACAGACAGACAGATAAACAGATGGAAAGATAGACAGACAGATAGAGAGACACATAGAAAGACAGAAAGATAGATAGACAGAAGATAGACAGACAGAGAGTTAGACGGATAGAAAGATAGAGGGCCAAGTTAGACAGGCAGATAGATAGTAGAAAAGAATGATAGAGAAAAAAATACTGGTAGAGAAGTGCCATTGGCCCCTTTTGGTTTTGTTGTTGTTGTTTGGTAAATACTTGCTTTGGGTGCTGAGCCCGCACTTCTTTGAGGGCTGTTTGCTTTTTCCTTGCAGGTTTGTGTCAGGTAAACTAGGCCTTTCCCCTTGCAAAATAGAACACTATGCAACAAAATTTGAATAATAATAATAATTCTGTTCCTGGTTTGAAAGTGTGATTTCCTGTTTACTCGTGCGGTGCTGACTTTGAAAGTAGTTGTTCTCCTCCAGAAACTTTGTTTTTGTGGCTGCCGCTAACTATATTGAATCGGTTGAGACTTGATGAGGCATTCATGGCAAAACTATGGCAAAATGTGCTGCGGGATGTCCGGCCAAAACCAAGTTTGGGCCATTTAATAAACTTTCCCCTTGTTTTTATGATCGAACCAATTAGGCAATGGCATGTATAACCCAGGAACAAAAATCGTGTGGCGTGGTGTGATGTCTTTCTGTATACAGGGGACATCTTTGCCTCATGCGCTTGAATGAGGGCCAAGTTGTAACGTGGTCCTGGGGGACGTGGTGGCTCTCCTTGGTGGGGTGGATTCTCCTCTTTGTCGTCACGCCTCCTTTTCTTCTTTTGCCCTTCATTCTCAGAAGAGACGGAAGGAAGTTCCTTTTCGGTGGTTTGAGATAAAAAGCCCCATGCATGCATGCGCCGCTTCCTGCAGTCATTGGTTCTGGAGAATTTGCAAAAGGGTGAAGTTTTGAGGTTGCCCCATTTTAGACCCATGAGGTGGCTTACCTTTTATGCATAGAGACATATGAGTCAATCGATGCATACCCTGAAACTGTGCAAAACACTTAGGAGGCCCATTGTGAGGGATTTGTAGTGGATGCAGATGGATTGATGACATCACACCAACAATCCTGACCCATGGCTTCCTTGCTATCACCTGACATTGGTTTTAAATGCACATTTTACTAGTATTGCTGATTTAATCTTCATTCTGTGTATTTAATATATGTATTTTCTGCTCCTTTGGCCTCTTCTACACTGGCCCCTTTTACACTGCCAGATAAAATCCAGATTATCTGCTTTGAACAGGATTATATGGCAGTGTAGACTCATACAATCCAGTTCAAAGCAGGTAATGTGGATTATTTTACTAATATTGTTAATCTTACTAACCATGCGTACATTATACACCTATGAAATTAAGGGTCTTTGGACCTCAATAATTGCTGTTGTTGCTTTGATAATCTGGATTTTATGGCAGTGCAGACTCATAATGCAGACAGTGTGGATTATTTTTTACTAATGTCATTGATCTTACTAACGATGCATACCTTGTACACCTATGGAATTAAGGGTCTTTAGACCACAATAAATGTTGTTGTTGCTTTGATAATATGGATTACAGGGCAATGTAGACTCACATAATGCAGTTCAAAGCAGATAATGTGGAGTATTTACTAATGTTGTTAATCTTACTAACCAGTAGTAAAGGTTTCCCCTGACATTAAATCCAGCCGTGTCCGACTCTGGGGGTTGTCCGTAGACAATCAATGTGGCCATTGGCATGATTGCATGGAGCACCATTTCCTTCCCACCGGAGCAGTACCTATTGATCTATTTACATTCGCATGTTTTCGAACTGCTAGGTGGGCAGAAGCTGGGGCTAACAGCTGGAGCTCACTCCGCTCCCTGGATTTGAACTGCCGACCTTTTGGTCAGCAAGTTCAGCAGCTCAGCAGTTTAACCCACTGCGCCACTGGGAGCTTGTAGTATGGTGTAGTATAAATTATTATTATTATTAATAATAATAATAATAATAATAATAATAATAATTCTTACTTGCCTCTCCTCTCAGTTTGAGTTGGGGCAGGAATAGTATGGTATAGAATAAATCATTACCACTACCATCATCTGCCTCTCCTCATAGTTTGAGTTGGGGCTGGTATAATATAGTATGGCATAGGTAAAAGGTAAAGGTAGCCCCCTGACATTAAGTCCAGTCATGTCTGACTCTGGGGTGTGGTGCTCATCTCCATTTCTAAGCCGAAGAACCAGCGTTGTCCGTAGACACCTCCAAGGTCATGTGGTCGGCATGACTGCATGGAGCGCCGTTAGTAAATTATTAGTAAATTAATATATTATTATTATTATTATTATTATTAGTTACTTGCCTCTCCTCTTGGTTTGAGTTGGGGCAGGTATCGGATAGTATGGTATAGTATAATGTATAGTAATAATAATAATAATAATGCTGCAGTGTGCCTCTCTTGGAGCATCCTTGTTTCCTATCCGCGCTGCAAGAAGACAACAAAGCTATTCATGGCCACTGGTCAGGCTCTTCCTTTTCTTTGCCACCATTTGGGCGGCATATGGAGGCCGGGCGGGCGAAGGAAACGGCGTCTCCTTGGCCATGAAAAGCAACATTGAGCCATCAGAGAATGGAGGAGCGAATGCAGCTCCGCAGAGAAGCCTCCTTGGTAGGCTTTTGATGTGATGTGATGAGAGATTTTCAAAAGCTCAGGGGATGCTGCTCTCAGCTCATTTGTAAGGGAAGGATTAAAATCCTGTGCCAGCATGATGGGCATCTGGTGGGACTTTCGGGAGGGAATTGATCCTTTCCTTTTTGTGTTGGGTCTGCGGGAGCTCTTTCGTCGCAAGGTCTGCCAGCCTGGAGTTGGACAATAAATTACAAAACAAAACAGAAATTAAATGCAAATCTATCCCTATACTATCATTAGTTTGCCCCAATCACATTTATTATTATTATTATTATTATTATTATTATTATTATTAATAATAATAATAATAATAATAATAAATGGGGGATAGCGTTTATTTGTTATTCTTAAGAGCAGTGGTGTTGACCCTTTTTGCACTTCAGTTCCCAGAAGCCCCCGGGCAGCATGACCTAAATGGCTGGGAATTTGAGGATAGTCTAACAGCATTTGAAAAGGGAAGCATTTGCAATAAAGGGTACTTAAGTAGCCTTGATGCCAAAATCCAGCCTTTCTCACATTGCGGGCCGGGACCCCGGGGGGGGGGGGCGTGAAGGGGTGCCAGAGGGGTCACCAAAGACCATCAGAAAACACAGTATTTCCTGTTGGTCATGGGGGGTCTCTGTGTGGGAAGTTTGGTCCAATTCTATGCTTGGTGGGGTCCGAATGCTCTTGGAACATCCCAGCAACTACAACTCCCAAATGTTAAAGTCTATTTTCCCCAAACTCCACCAGTGTTCACGTTTGGGCATATTGAGTATTTCTGCCAAGTTTGGTCCAGATCCATCATTGTTTGAGTCCACAGTGCTCTGTGGATGTAGGTGAACTACAACTCCCAAACTCAAGGTCAGTGCCCACCA